AGGGTGGGTTTAAGTTTCATCGTTCTAGGGTTATGGGAACCCAAAGAAATAATTAAAATAAGGTGTACTGCGTGATTGCGGACAGCAGACGCGGTGAAATATTGTTCGACCGATCAATCTATGTTCGCGACGAGGAAAAGTGATATGTACGAATCAATTATGTAACTAATTATTCGTTAATTAACTATGAAATAGTCTAAGTTGCGTGCGCGCGCAGGAAGCGTTAAGGCCGTAGGGTGCGTACAGCGCAGACGCGAAGCGAATTAATAAAAGCGCCGACGCACAGAAGACGATAGCTTGTTCTGATTTAAACATAGTCGCGTAAACATGTTTTGGTCTGTTAGGAGTTATACGGGACAAAGCGATCCCGATACCATTCGAGAACCTTCGACGGAAGGACGGTCGAGAAAACAGTCGTCGACAACGAACGTTGTCTCGTGTTGTTATCCGCGTTCACTATAAAAACGAAATGCCAATCGAAGTGAAGTCGCGCATAAACAGTAGAATCGGACAACACGCGCCGAAGTCGTGTGCATGGAGCGATATAGGCAGCGTTTATAATAAGCCTACTCGAAGCTAGGCAACCTGTTTATATCCGAGCGGTAGTGTTATAATTGTGAACCATTGTCCACGGACGTGTCTACGTTTAAAATAAAGAGTTGTTTTGTTGCCATAATCTGAGCTTGATCATTCGCATACCCGTACACGCACTCATCCAGGGAAACCCGGAACCACCTTCGTTCTTAGAGGGTCAAAGAACGTGGCGACCGAATTTGACGAAACAAGGAAGGACCGAGACCAGAAGTAGCTTATCGTCCGATTACCCAAATCAGGGATCACAAATCGCCCGATCGCACAACGTTCGTGGTTATAAATCGCCCGATTACTAAAAAATTCAGAATCACAAAATCGTCCGATTTCGAGAAACCCAATTTCTCAAATTGTCCGGTCACAACCTAACCAAGTGTTGTATAATCTTTTTTGGAAAGCGTTGCCGTCTTCGATTGTGCCTATAGTAAGTTTACCTCATCAACGAGGACCGGGTCATTTATATTAGAAAAAGAAGAAGAAGAACATTGTGTGGATGATAATGGACGTCCATGTGATTGGCATATTGCGTCGAAGAAATTATATATCTGAGAGCTCATCGAGTTCCGATGAAGATTGGGAAGTACATTTGAGGAAAAAAAGAATTCAGAAACGTATGCGCATTATAAATTATATTGACGTTGTTGACCGTTATACGATTTTAAAAGCCATTTCAGGTCAGTGATTATTTAAGAGATGCATTAAATTTGTTTAGATTATTTAAAAATGTGAATTATTGATACAAATTTGATCCTATTATTTGCAGAATGTCAAAAGTTACATTTCAATACCTCCTTCAAATTATTCAGGAATTTAATTAGGAAAGTAAAAGGCTGTCCTACAATACCTGCACGCCAACAGTTAATGATTGTCCTTTGGAAGATGGCTACGATGGATTCATATAGGTAATGATGCACAAATTCAGGGTTTGATTATATTAAATAAAATTCATCTATAAATTCTATGTTCATAATAAATTTATATTGAAATCTGCAATATCTGATTAATTTTGATTAATTTAGTACTATTTTGTTACAGATCGATTTGTGATCGATTTGATGTAGGCAGAGCAACTGCTCTGAGGGCTGTACGAAGAGTCACTCATGCTGTGTTTAAAAGGTCGGCAAGATTTATTCAATGGCCTAGTGGTAATCGTGCTATCACTGTGATGAAGGGATTTGAAGAAGCTAGTGGATTTCCAAGAGTTATTGGGGCCATTGATGGCACTCATATCCATATTGATGCTCCAAAGGAGAATTCCATTGATTATGTTAATCGCAAAGGATTCCATTCAATTCAGTTGCAGGTAGTTAACATTTATCTGGATATGTTAATTGCCGTTCCACTAGCTTGCAGGCATATTTTATAAATAATATTTTATTATAAGCATTTTATAAATAACAAAATACTTTTAACCATGTTGTAACTGTTACTTAAACCTATAATAGCTGCGTTCGGCAATGCAAATCTGAGGTGTTGGAGTGCTCTTTTTCTATAGTGCATGTGACATATGCTATAATATAAGAGCACTTCGACGCCACAGATTTATATTGCCGAACGCAGTTAATATATGTACATCTATTTGCAGTTGATTTGTGATCATAGAACTTTAATCACACACTGCTACTCTGGTTATCCTGGTTCTGTCCACGACCAAAGAGTTTTTCGGCAATCGGAAGTGGCAGACTTTTTAAACGACGATGAGAAGTTTCCTACAGACAGCCACATTTTGGATGATGCTGCATCAACATCTGCTCACCCCTTTTCGAGACAATGGTTATCTTAATGAGAGACAGAACTGTTGCACCCGTGGCGAGGTACAGTCGAAGTCCCGGAGGTAGACAGTGATAACACTCAGCACACTTTATATTTTAACACCTTTTATTAATAACAATGTTTTACAATTATGTGACTCGGAGTCACTGGCGTAGCCTGTAACTGGCTATCGGTTTCGCTGTTATCTTATTATAAGTTGGTTAGCAGGTTGATATTATGACGTGACACTATGTTAACGTACTCGCGCACTGATACTCGACTTCTGCCTCTGGCTTCAGTCGGGTGGTATTTATTTACATGCTTCTGCTGAGCTAGTCAGCTGATTTGGAATGCGGTCGGTGACTGACCGATCGCATGTGGCAATTCCTTTTTGAAGTTGCTATGCTTAATTCTGCTTAAACTTACTAAAAGATATTTGGAAATTGTACTACTTAAACGGAATTTCTACTTATTATTGCTTGAACAGCTAAGTTCGCAAATCGTTCCGCTTTGCTAATGCTTAAACTGCTAGATTGCGTTTTTGGTAATTGGAATCGCGATGTCGTACGCAATCGCTTTAATATATGTAAATGTTTTATTTTATATTTTAATATTAAAATATTTTATTTTAATATTCGTTGTGGATATAACATCCCTTCCCCGTTGAAAAAGACAAACGCAGTAAATACAAGTTTTTCGCTTCTTATATACTATGTTGTTGTTTGTGAGCTATTTGCTTCGCAATATAGTGGGGGCAGAAGGCCCTGTTGGCGTTTTCTTAAAATCTTTTTTATTAAAAAATACATTGCTATAATTACTATTGTAAGGATAATAAATCCGCTTGTCGCCATCGGGTATATAAATTCTTTTTGTTTGTAGAATTCTTGGTTTTGTAAGTCGTTATATATTTTGTTTAATTTCATTCCTAAGTACTTTAATTCGTTAGGATCTCTAACTAGATGTTTTAGTTTAATTTGATCAGTTTTGTTGTCTAAGACTTGAGCATTTCTTAGTAATGTGATGTTTACATTAGGTAAATATGATTCTATTATTTTTGTTCGTTCTAATAGTCGAGATCTGATAACAACATCTGACGTTATTAGTTTACAGTTATTTTGTAATGTTATTTTACCCGTGTTTTCTAAAATTTCTTTTGACTCTGGATAATTCTTACATTTTATTCTAGCTACCTTTTTTGTGGGTGCTGAGAATAACCAAGAGTTCTCCAGTTTTTTCCATAATACGCTATGCGCTGTTACAAATTTATGATTACAATGTTTATATTGGTTTTCGGCTTTTAAGTACAATTGAATTTCGCATATCGCATCGGAAGTTATTCTATTAATAGCATGATTTCGCTCGCATAGGTAATTTAATCCTATCTTACTACATTCTTGAAGTTCGTACTCTGTGATAGTAATGTATGTGTGTCGTTCGGTGTCAACGGCTATGTATGGTTCGTTTATTTCTACTGATACGAATATGTTGTCGTGGTCATATACCGGTAGTGGTATCGCGTGTAGTATTTCGTATGTCGGTGAAGCAGTCAATGGAAATTGTAAGATCGTGTATATATTATCGCGGTCACAGTAGGCACTAATTGTTGTAGCCTTCTCTATGTTGATCCAGTCCGATCCATTGAGATTGAATGGGAAGTATAAACCTTCTGGTAATGTTGCGGCTGCTCCTTTCAGATTATCAATTACATGATTTACGGACATTAGTCCTGGATGTAGAAATCCTTCCTTTGCATATGTTAAATATTCGAGTATATCCTCGGTGTCCCTTATTAGATCATTTGTTAACTCAATTATCAATGTAAAATATTCGTCTACTGCCTGATGTTGACTTGTTATATGTCCCTGGTTGCTTATTATTTGAATTGAATTCCTTAAATTTCTTTCGTTTTGCTGTATGTTTTCCTCTAGGCTGCTTATGTGGTTTATTGTAGAGTTGATGATCTTCAATTGATTACTTACAGCATGTCGGATTGCTGCTGCTTCATTATGTAGAAGTGTTAATTGTTCTTTTATGATTTTTTCATCATTGGCGTCCATTGTTCCAAATAATGATTTTGCTATAGATCCTAGCCCGTTTATTAATCCGCGTCTTTTATTTATTGGCGCTGTATAAATTGCTTGAATTGCGGTGATCAGGTTTTTGGCTCTATCGTGGCCTCTTTCAGCAATTGTGTACATGTTTTTACATGTATTATCGTTTAATAATGTGTACTCACACATCTTTTTTGTTTCTTCTATACTCCCTTGTAACTGCATTAGTCGCTTATCTATCGCGTTCATGTCTGTGTGTATGACCAGTCTCCAATGACTTTCAATTTGATATAATCTTCCTGTCTTTTCGAAGTAAGCACCTGGACTATGTGTAAATCTCTCTATTTGATAGGGTGCGTTTATTTCTTCTCCTATTGCTAGGCTAGCCCACCAGATTCTGTAACGAATCATTGGGTTTTTGTTAATTCTTATTACATTTTTATTCGGAAAGTAATTCTATCCGGTGTCTACTTGCAGTCTTTTGGTTTAGTGTTGCGTCTTTTATCTTATACTTTTCGTTTCGTATTTAATGTCGTCAGCGGTCTGTGTTAGCGTTAGCGTCTTTTCTATTTGCAAGAGAGGCTGTCTTTTAGTCACTCGTGAACCATGCTTTATACCGTAGCTCCGTCGTTTTCCGATGCATCTGATTCGGAGGAGGAGATTCCTCTCGTAGGTAGTGCGGCCCCCTATTTTCCCGTAGGGGAGGATGAATATAGTGGGGCAGAGGGCGAGGGAATTGATTCTGGATCTGAGGACGAATTTGCCTTGATGAATGTATCAAGTAATGGGGAGAGTGACTCCAGTGATAGTGACTTGGAGGTGGAGGAGAAGTTAGATTCTGATTCCGAAGCTATGGATACTGATCCTGAGGATATGGATACTGATCCTGAGGGTATGGACACTGATCCTGAGGATATGGATACTGATACTGAGGGTATGGACACTGATCCTGAGGATATGGATACTGATCCTGAGGATATGGATGAGGAATTAAGTGATAATCCCGTCCCTTCCATGTGTAATTCCTCTAGTGCAGAGGATGGATCCCTGTTAGGGGATTAATGTATTTTATTATTCTTTTTAAAGTAGACCGTAGTGTAGTGTAGACTTTTATAGTTTTAGTGTAGACGTAGTTTTTAGTGTAGACATTTTTTAGTGTAAATAGTTTTATATGTGAACTGTCCTGTGCCTTGCGTGGATTACTTCTACTTCTTTTGGTGAGTAATTATTTGTTTTATCTTCTGCATGTCTTTATTTTTTGACTGCTTTTAATTGTTTATGTGTCAACTTTCGACTAGTCGCTTATGAATGCTTTTAGTCTATTTGCGTGCGTCGGAATTGTTCGTCGACCCTTCTTTATCGCGTAGTTTACGTCAGATAATTTTTCCATTACTATGTATGGTCCGGTCCATAGGGACTCTAGTTTCTTTGAGCGTCCTCGTCTCAAAGTTTCATCGTACAATAATACTTTGTCTCCTACCTTGAATTTTGTTTCTTTCGTATTTTTATCGTAATACTGTTTTGCCTTATCTTTGGCTCCCTGTATTTTATCTTTGGCGACCTGGTGTGTAGCTCGTAGTCTTTCTCGTAGTTCTTGAGCGTAGTCGTCATAAGAGTACGTAATTTTTGGTGGTGTTGATAATGCTGATGGTAAGGTAGCTTTATGTCCATATATTAATTCGAATGGAGTGTAACTAGTTGCGGTGTGAGGAGTTGTGTTGTAGGTGAACATGGCGTAGGGTATCCATTCATCCCAGTCCGTTTGATCCGCATTTATGTAGTGTCGTAAATATTCAGCTAGTGTTCTATGTGAACGTTCCAAAGCTCCATTGCTTTCTGGATGATAGGCAGTAGTTTGAATTTTATTAATCTTTAGTAGTTTACATGTATTTTTAAATATTTCACTTAAGAAGTTGGTACCTTGATCGGTTAGTACTCCTTGTGGTATTCCATATTCCAGTATTATTTTGGTAGTGAATTCTTTTGCTATTGTCGCAGCTTCTTGATTTGGAATAGGCATAGCTTTGCTATATTTCGTTAAAGCATCTTGAAATGTCAGTATATATTTATTTCCATTTGTAGTGACTGTTAGTGGTCCTACAATGTCGAGTGCACATTTTTCAAATGGCTTATCCAGTGTGTCCGTGATAACTAGTGGTGCTTTGATTTTTCTTGATAGTTTATTCTTTTGGCAATACTCACATTTGGCTATATAATTTTCTACATCTTTATTGATGTTGGGCCAGGTATGATTTATCTTGATTCTTTTTAAGGTACGTTCTACCCCTTGATGTCCTCTTGTAGGCGCGTCATGATATTCGAAGAGAATTTGTTTTTTGTCTTCTTCGCTGTAGATTTTTTCATTAGTTGCTGTTTCTTCAGTAGTAATAGTTGCTATATTTCTGCTCAATGCGTCTGCATTGGCATTAGCTTTTCCTGGCTTATGTACGATCTCATAGTCGTATTCTTCTAGTTTTAATCGCCAACGGATTAATCTTGATCCGGGATCTGTTACGTTGAATAACCATATCAATGGCTTATGATCCGTTATTATTTTAAATTTGGTACCGTATAGATAAGGTCGGAAGTGCTTGACGGCCCATACGATTGCTAATAATTCTTTTTCTGTCGTATTATAATTTTGCTCAGCTTGCGTTAATACGCGGTTTGCGTAAGCTATCGGACGGTCTTGGCCTACCGCGCCTTGTGATAGCACGGCTCCAATGGCGTAATCTGATGCGTCCGTTGTCAGTAGAAATTCTTGATCGAAGTCAGGATACTTTAATACAGGTGCAGTAATTAATTTGTTTTTTAAGACTTCAAATGCATCTTGCTGCATTGTAGTCCATTTGAACTCCTTTCCTTTTCTTGTTAAGGCAGTTAGAGGCTTCGCGATTTTTGAGAAATCGACTATAAATTTTCTATAATATTCTGCAAAAGGCATGCGATTAAACTCGTAATGTCCATATGGCGTTGAGAAAGCTGTTTTGCTCTTATCTTTTTTAGCCATTGGTATCTGATGATAACCGGAAGCTAGATCAAGTGTTGGAAAATATTTGGCGTTTCCTAGTTGATCCAGTATATCCGTAATATTTGGTAGTGGAAATGAGTCTCCAATAGTGAGATCATTTAATTTTCGTAAGTCTATCACGGCTCGTAGCTTAGGCTTTCCTGATGCATCCGTCTTCTTTGGTAGTACCAGTAGCGGTGCGTTCCATTGGCTGACGCTTGGTTGAACTATTTCTTGTCTCAGCATATCTTGAATTTGACGGTTTACCTCTGCTTTATGTTTTTCGGGTAACCGATATGGTTTTACATTCACACTAGGAGAATTGACCTGCGTGTTAATTTCATGCTCTACTTTTGAGGTGCATGTTAGTTGGTCACCTTCTAAGTGATATACATCATTATATTCTTCACAAATGTTTATTAAGGTTTTCTTCTCCTCGGTATTTAAATGTTGTACTCGTAAGAGTAATATTATACGTTCCTTTCGAGGAATCATGTTTTCTATCTCTTGCACTTTAATTGTTTCTTCGTCTTCTGGAAGAGTTATCTTGGCTATGGTCACCTGTGGTAATGACATATTTATTTCTTCGTCTGTTGTATTCAGTATTGTGACAGGACATGTGTAGTTTCGAGGTTTCACTAGGCAGTTTCCTATGATGACTCCGGGAATCATTTCCTCTTGGCTTGTAATGCCTTCTATATTTTTATCAGCAGTCACCTGAACTATAGTTTCCGTTCGTGGTTTTAATTGTACTCGCCGGTGTGAATAAAGCTTAAAAAGAGTTCCTTGGATGTCTACTATTCGTCTTTCACAGTTGAAAGTGGCTTTATGTTGTCAGAGGAAGTCCATTCCTATGATCCCGTCGTATTCCATGGGCGTATTATCGTGTACTACATATACGGGGTGCTGAATATTCTTGTCTCGCACTGGCACCGTTAGGTATATTTTCCCGATTGTTTTCATTGAATGTCCTGTTATTCCTGTTAATCGTATTTGCTCCTCTTGAATCATTGCGTTGGCTTTAAGCATTTTTAGTTTTATTAATGAGATAGTAGCTCCGGTATCAAATAAGAAGTTAATCTTTTCGTTATTAGCTTCGAGTACGGGCAGTGAAATTAAATCTAACCCGGTATCTTTCAAATGACTCCGTACGTGTGACACTCGATATTCTGCGGCGGCACGTGTTTTTCGCGGCGTTGCTTCTTCCTTTTCTTCTTCATCACTGCTCGGCGCGTCGGAGCTCTTTATCGCTCTTAGTTTCTTTCCGCGCGATTGATCTTTATTCTCGTAGCGCGTACCCTTTTTGCTTCCGAATTTTAGAGTATAATCTTGTTTTGCTCGTCCGTTGAGCAACCAACATTCATTTTTAGTATGCCCGTTCTTTTTGCAATAGGTGCAATGTTTATCTACCGTGTTTACGTGAGGGCGTCCTTCAGGTTTAGGTAAGTTGAAACGGTTCGCGTATCTGCTGGTACGACAGTCTTTCCCGTGGTGTCCTCGTTTTCCGTATTTTGCGCACACTAGCTTTGACTCACAGTACGATCGAGGGTATGATGTAGTATTATCGAATTTTCGATTCGAGTTTAACATTCGCAGGGTTGACCCTTTTACTTTTTCTTTAGCGCTCGCGCCTGCAATGGCTTCTTGTAAAGTGGTATAACGTTGCTCGCGTACTAATAATTTTATCTCCTCGTGTAATCCCGTTTGAAAGTTATGTAGAGCTTGTTCCTTGATGTTTTCGAGAATAGCGCGTTGTTGTTTAGGAGTATGATCCTTTCCCTCTTCCATTGATTCGTAAAGTTCCATCGCGAGATTTTCTACACGATGCCCGAACGTTTGTGCGTTTTCCGCGGGTTTTTGTTTAAGAGAGTTGAACTCTAAATGTAGATGAGCTGTGCTACGTTTGCCTAGATATTCATTTTCTAGATCTCTTTTTAACTGTAATTGGCTATATCGCGAGTATGGAAATCCAGCATGGCCTTTCCTCTAAACTTGGTGCATAATATCGCTTCTAATAAGGTTGATTCATCAACCGGATGAATGTTTTTTATAGCGTAAGAGCTAGCGTTTATAAATTCACGTACGCGGTTGCGAGATGCTCCATCTATTTCGGGAATCATATTCCTTGCTTCTTTAAGAGTTAGAAAATTAATAGTGGTTCCTGGTTGACGTCGCACATCGTGTGACGTATGTATGTTCGTAAGATCTATCGCAGGTAGACCGTGAGACGTTCTTCCGTGCCCGATAACATGAACAGGCCCGGTTCTGCCCTGATTGTTCACTTGTACTCGTAGTTCGCGTATTTCACGTAAAAGTTCTTGCAGCGTTAAGTTGTCGCTGGCCGTGTTATTTATAGAGGTTAGCGGCGGTCCTCCAATGATGATACTATGTCTGTCATATGCTTCTTTTAATTGTTGGATTTCGTCGTCTATAGTTTCTGGTAGGACACCGAGTGTGGCGTTAATAGGACCGTTCGACATGTCGGCGTTATTGTCTCTAGACATGGTTGTGTTTTGATTTAGTGCGAGTAGGCTGTAGTCGTGTATGTTATATGGGTATCCTCTCTCCAAAGTTACGCTTGACAGTGTAGGCGAGTTAGTGTCATCGTCTGATTGTGAGAAGTCGAGTCGCGATGTCGTGTTTATATTATTTAATATAATTTGTAACGCGTCGCGTGCAATCTGCAGCGCGGACTGTTCGTTTTCGTTTTGGCCCTGCCTGTACCGAGTCGCGTTACGGTGTTCTCTTTCACCGTCGGACATTCGCAATTTTTATTCGCGAGTAATTTTAATAACTAACGCCGGATTACAAACATAAGAATAATTTTGCGGACTTACATTACGATGATCGCTTTCATTGTCGTTTTTTCGGCTCGCTCGCTGCTGTAGTAGGCTGACTCTCGTTTGGTGTGGTGATCAGCTGGCTCGCTCGGCTTGCGGCGGTTATCAGCAGATGATGCGACGTTGTGTTGTCCTCAGTCCGTGTCGGAGAGCTCGGGTGTCGGCGTTGATAATCCTCACTGTAGTAGTAGTCTTCTTACTGGACGTCAGCT